ATCATCACCATCATCAACACATCCAACATCCATCATCAACAACAACATCATCAACAACAACATCATCACCGTCAACAACATCATCAACATCATCAACACCACCATCATCACCATCAACAACAACATCATCAACATCACCACCATCATCACCACCACCATCATCATCATCACCACCACCACCATCAACAACATCATCATCACCACCATCATCATCGCCATCAGCATAACCACACAGCCATCATGAACCCCGTGGCTCTCCCCGTGTGTCTCCCCGTGTGTCTCCCCGTGTCTCTCTCCATGTCTCCCCGTGTCTCTCCCCGTGTCTCTCCCCGTGTCTCTCCCCCCGTGTCTCTCCCCGTGTCTCTCCCCCCGTGTGTCTCCCCCCGTGTCTCCCCGTGTCTCTCCGTGTGTCTCCGTGTGTCTCTCCCCGTGTCTCTCCGTGTGTCTCTCCGTGTGTCTCCCCATGTCTCTCTCCATCTCTCTCCCCCGTCTGTCTCCCCGTGTCTCCCCCCGTGTCTCACCGTGTCTCTCCCCGTGTCTCTCCGTGTGTCTCCGTGTCTCCCCCCCCGTGTCCCTCCATGTCTCCCCCCCCCATGTCTCTCCGTGTCTCTCCCCGTGTCTCTCCCCGTGTCTCTCCCCGCGTGTCTCCCCGTGCGTCTCTCCGTGTCTCTCCCCGTGTCTCCCCGTGTCTCTCCCCGTGTCTCTCCTCGTGTCTCCCCGTGTGTCTCCCCGTGTGTCTCTCCGTGTCTCCGTGTCTCTCCCCGTGCGTCTCTCCGTGTCTCCCCGTCTGTCTCCCCGTGTCTCTCTCCATGTCTCCCCGCGTCTCTCCGTGTCTCTCCCCGTGTGTCTCTCCGTGTCTCTCCCCGTGTCTCTCTCCATGTCTTCCCGCGTGTCTCTCCGCGTGTCTCCCCCCGTGTCTCTCCCGTGCGTCTCTCCGTGTCTCTCCCCGTGTGTCTCTCTCCGTGTGTCTCCCTGTGTGTCTCCCCCCGTGTCTCTCCCCGTGTGTCTCTCCCCGTGTCTCCCCCCGTGTCTCCCCCACGTGTCTCTCCCCGTGTGTCTCCCCGTGTCTCTCCCCGTGTCTCTCCCCGTGTCTCCGTGTCTCCCACCCCCCCCCGTGTCTCTCCCCGTGCGTCTCTCCGTGTCTCTCCCCCGTGTGTCTCTCTCCGCGTGACTCCCCCCGTGTCTCCCCCCGTGTCTCCGTGTCTCTCCCCGTGTGTCTCTCCCCGTGTCTCTCCCCGTGTGTCTCCCCGTGTCTCTCCCCATGTCTCTCCCCGTGTCTCCGTGTCTCCCCCCCCCCCCGTGTCTCTCCCCGTGCGTCTCTCCGTGTCTCTCCCCGTGTGTCTCTCTCCGCGTGACTCCCCCCGTGTCTCCCCCCGTGTCTCCGTGTCTCTCCCCGTGTGTCTCTCCCCGTGTCTCTCCCCGTGTGTCTCCCCGTGTCTCTCCCCGTGTCTCTCCCCGTGTCTCCGTTGTCTCCCCCCCCCCCGTGTCTCTCCCCGTGCGTCTCTCCGTGTCTCTCCCCCGTGTGTCTCTCTCCGCGTGACTCCCCCCGTGTCTCTTCCCGTGTCTCTCCGTGTCTCTCCCCGTGTGTCTCTCCCCGTGTCTCTCCCCGTGTCTCCGTGTCTCCCCCCCGTGTCTCTCCCCGTGTGTCTCCCCGTGTCTCTCCCCGTGTCTCTCCCCGTGTCTCCGTGTCTCCCCCCCCCCCCCGTGTCTCTCCCCGTGCGTCTCTCCGTTTCTCTCCCCGTGTGTCCTCTCTCCGCGTGACTCCCCCCGTGTCTCCCCCCGTGTCTCTCCCCGTGTGTCTCCCCGTGTGTCTCCCCGTGTCTCCGTGTCTCCCCCCCCCGTGTCTCTGCCCGTGTGTCTCCCCGTGTCTCTCCCCGTGTCTCTTCCCGTGTCTCCGTGTCTCCCCCCCCCGTGTCTCTCCCCGTGTCTCCCCCCCCGTGTCCTCTCCCCGTGTGTCTCTCCGTGTCTCTCCCCGTGTGTCTCTCTCCTCGTGTCTCTCCCCGTGTCTCTCCCCCCGTGTCTCTCCGTGTCTCTCCCCGTGTGTCTCTCTCCTCGTGTCTCTCCCCGTGTCTCTCCCCCCGTGTCTCTCCCCGTGTGTCTCTCTCCGCGTGTCTCTCCCCGCGTGTCTCACCTGGTAAGGTTCGTAGAAGAGACTTTCAACTCCCTCTGAGAGTCCTCGCAGCAGAGCCACGGGGTTACCCATCACGTCCAGACCCAGCAGCAGCACGTACGCCTGCCTGATGAACTACACACACACACAGACACTATACATTATACACACAGACACACACAGACACACACAGACACACACACACACACAGGCACTATACATTATACACACACACACAGACACACACAGACACACACAGACACACACACAGGCACTATACATTATACACACAGACACAGATACACACACACACAGACACACACACAGACACAGATACACACACACAGGCCCAGCAGCAGCACGTACGCCTGCCTGATGAACTACACACACACACACAGACACACACACACACTATACATTATACACACAGACACACACATTATACATTATACACACAGACACAGATACACACACAGACACAGATACACACACAGACACAGCAGCAGCACATACGCCTGCCTGATGAACTACACACACACACAGACACACACACAGACACACAGGCACTATACATTATACAGACACACACAGATACACACACACAGACCCAGCAGCAGCACGTACGCCTGCCTGATGAACTACACACACACACACACACTATACATTATACACACAGACACACACTATACATTATACACACAGACACACACACAGACCCAGCAGCAGCACGTACGCCTGCCTGATGAACTACAAAGATACAAAGATCCCCCGTGTAGCCTTAACAGACTGTAGGGGCAAGTGCTGTTAGCGAGCACCTATGAAGGCCGGAACGGCACACGAGGGGGTGGGTGGCCAGCACCACGCCCGACCGCCTTTGTCTCCCCAGTGGCGATGTTTACACACCGCACCAGGTACTCATTTGAGGCTGAGTCGACCTAGGGGAGGCCCAGGACCGGTTCAGATAATCGTCACTGGTGTCGGCCGTGAACGGGAATCAAACTCGGGTCACCAGGTTCGTAGCGCAGCGTAGCGCTAACCACTACTACACTACTGCTCCCCTACTGAACTACACACACACAGACACACACAGACACACACACACAGACTATCTATATATATAAAATCGCAAATCTGTCTGTCTGTCGGTCTGTCTGTCTGTGTGTGTGTCTGTGTGTGTGTCTGTCTGTCTGCGTGTCGCCGGACCATACGCAGTTTCATTGGACGAAATGTGAGGGATTTGTGAGACGCGATTGGTCCGTTTGGTTTTCCACGGCGGTTGCCCCTGGCAACGGGTAGCGACGCATTCGCTGCGGGGTGGACGCCATTTTTAATTCCCGTAAAAAATATGCGCACGCATTAACACGCGACTCTGAGGTAAATTCATCAAAGTTTCACGTCCTCTTCACTCCCATCCCACCCCAATGTGTGCAATTACTATTATAGGCTCCGTAGATAATAAAATTATAGCGATTAGACAGTATTATTGTAGCGCGGGGGGGGGGGGAACAGCACCCGTACCCAGCCTCAGCCGGGTGGGCAATTTAGGCGAGGCCAGAGGCTCTGCACGGTACTAGGCCTCGACACCCACCACGCGACTCTGAGGTAAATTCATCAAAGTTTCACGTCCTCTTCACTCCCCCGCCACCCCAATGTGTGCAATTACTATTATAGGGTCGGTAGATAATAAAATTATAGCGATTAGACAGTATTATTGTAGCGCGGGGGGGGGGGGTAACGGCCCCGGTTCAGCCTCAGCCGGGTGGGCAATTTAGGCGAGGCCAGAGGCTCTGCACGGTACTAGGCCTCGACACCCACCACGCGACTCTGAGGTAAATTCATCAAAGTTTCACGTCCTCTTCACTCCCCCGCCACCCCAATGTGTGCAATTACTATTATAGGGTCGGTAGATAATAAAATTATAGCGATTAGACAGTATTATTGTAGCGCGGGGGGGGGGGGTAACGGCCCCGGTTCAGCCTCAGCCGGGTGGGCAATTTAGGCGAGGCCAGAGGCTCTGCACGGTACTAGGCCTCGACACCCACCACGCGACTCTGAGGTAAATTCATCAAAGTTTCACGTCCTCTTCACTCCCCCGCCACCCCAATGTGTGCAATTACTATTATAGGGTCGGTAGATAATAAAATTATAGCGATTAGACAGTATTATTGTAGCGTGGGGGGGGGGGGTAACGGCCCCGGTTCAGCCTCAGCCGGGTGGGCAATTTAGGCGAGGCCAGAGGCTCTGCACGCTACTAGGCCTCGACACCCCACCACACTATAGGCCGTACATACTACTGCACAGCGGCCGAGGAGATCGTGGCTGGGGGGGGGGGGGGGGGGCAGGGGTAGCAGCCCATCTGTGTATATATGTAAGGTTATTAATAAATATATTTTTCACCCGGGCAACGCCGGGTACTTATGCTAGTACATTATATACACAGACACACGCACATTATACATTATACACACACACACAGACACACACACTATACATTATACATAGACACACAAACAGACACACACACACAGACAGATACACACACAGACATTACACATTATACACACACACACAGACACACACACAGACAGATACACACACAGACACACACACAGACACTATACATTATGCACACACACACAGACACACACACAGACAGACAGACACACACACTATACACACAAACAGGCACACACACTGTACATTATGGGTGAGTGAGCGAGTGAGTAGGTGAGTGTGTGGGTGGGTGAGTAGGTGAGTGTGTGGGTAAGTGGGTGGGTGAGTGTGTGGGTGGGTGAGTGGGTGGGTGAGTGAGTAGGTGAGTGAGTAGGTGAGTGAGTAGGTGAGTGTGTGGGTGAGTGGGTGGGTGAGTGAGTGTGTAGGTGAGTGAGTAGGTGAGTGGATGAGTGAGTAGGTGAGTGAGTGGGTGAGTGAGTGTGTGGGTGAGTGAGTGTGTGGGTGAGTAGGTGAGTGAGTGAGTGTGTGGGTGAGTTGGTGAGTAGGTGAGTGAGTGGGTGAGTGAGTGGGTGAGTGAGTAGGTGAGTGAGTGTGTGGGTGAGTGGGTGGGTGAGTGAGTGTGTGTGGGTGAGTGAGTGGGTGAGTGTGTGGGTGAGTGAGTGTATGGGTGAGTAGGTGAGTGAGTAGGTGAGTGAGTGAGTAGGTGAGTGAGTGTGTGGGTGAGTAGGTGAGTGAGTGAGTAGGTGAGTAAGTAGGTTAGTGAGTGTGTGGGTGAGTAGGTGAGTGAGTGAGTGTGTAGGTGAGTGAGTAGGTGAGTGGATGAGTGAGTAGGTGAGTGAGTGGGTGAGTGAGTATGTGGGTGAGTAGGTGAGTGAGTGTGTGGGTGAGTTGGTGAGTAGGTGAGTGTGTGAGTGAGTGTGTGGGTGAGTGTGTGGGTGAGTAGGTGAGTGAGTGAGTGTGTGAGTGAGTGGGTGAGTGTGTGAGTGTGTGGGTGAGTAAGTAGGTGAGTGAGTAGGAGAGTGAGTGTGTGAGTGATTAGGTGAGTGTTTGGGTGAGTAGGTGAGTGAGTGTGTGGGTGAGTAGGTGAGTGTGTGGGTGAGTGAGTGTGTGAGTGTGTGGGTGAGTAGGTGAGTGTGTGAGTGAGTGTGTGGGTGAGTAGGTGAGTGGGTGAGTGTGTGGGTGAGTAGTGGGTGACTACCTGGTTGGTGTAGTGTTTTGTGGCGTCAGTGAGAAGTTTCTGCAGCGTTGAGAACTCGTAGCTCACTTGGAAATACGCCATCCTGCACCAACATCAACATCATCACCATCACCAACATCATCATCATCACCAACATCAACAACATCAACAACATCACCATCATCATCACCAACATCAACATCATCACCATCACCATCATCACAATCATCACCAACATCACCACCATCACCAACATCATCAACATCATCATCACCATCAACATCATCAACACCATCAACACTAACATCACCAACATCAACATCACCAACATCATCAACACCAACATCACCAACATCAACATCACCAACATCATCAACATCACCACCATCAACAACCACCATCACCAACATCAACATCACCACCATCAACATCACCACCATCACCACCATCCTACACTACCATCACCAACATCACCACCATCACCAACATCAACATTACCAACATCACCACCATCAACAACCACCATCAACATCACCAACATCATCATCAACATCACCACCTCCATCACCAACATAATCAACATCACCAACATCAACATCACCACCATCACCACGATCAACATCACCACCATCAACATCACCACTATCACCACCATCCTGCACTACCATCACCAACATCATCACCATCACCAACATCACCAACATCAACATCACTGAGTGACTGGCTGAGTGACTGGCTGAGTGACTGGTTGAGTGACTGAGTGAGTGACTGAGCGAGTGAGTGGCTGAGTGAGTGAGTGGCTGAGTGAGTGAGTGACTGAGTGACTGGCTGAGCGAGTGAGTGAGTGACTGAGCGAGTGAGTGAGTGACTGACTGAGTGAGTGACTGAGCGAGTGACTGAGTGACTGACTGAGTGAGTGACTGACTGAGTGACTGGCTGAGTGACTGACTGAGTGAGTGACTGAGCAAGTGACTGAGTGACTGACTGAGTGAGTGACTGAGTGACTGACTGAGTGAGTGACTGACTGAGTGACTGGCTGAGTGACTGAGTGAGTGGCTGAGTGAATGACTGAGTGAGTGAGTGACTGAGCGAGTGGCTGAGTGAATGACTGAGTGAGTGAGTGACTGAGTGACTGAGTGATTGACTGGCTGACTGAGTGACTGAGTGAGTGACTGAGTGACTGAGTGGCTGAGTGAGTGAGTGAGTAAGTGACTGAGTGAGTGACTGAGTGACTGAGCGAGTGGCTGAGTGACTGAGTGAGTGACTTGCTGAGTGACTGAGTGGCTGAGTGACTGAGCGAGTGAGTGGCTGAGTGACTGCGTGAGTGGCTGAGTGACTGCGTGAGTGGCTGAGTGAGTGACTGAGTGAGTGACTGAGTGAGTGAGTGAGTGACTGTGTGACTGAGTGAGTGACTGAGTGAGTGAGTGACTGAGTGAGTGAGTGACTGAGTGACTGACTGAGTGACTGGCTGAGTGACTGCGTGAGTGGCTGAGTGACTGAGTGAGTGACTGGCTGAGTGACTGAGTGAGTGACTGAGTGAGTGACTGAGTGAGTGACTGAGTGAGTGAGTGAGTGACTGAGTGACTGGCAGAGTGGCTGACTGACTGAGTGGCTGACTGACTGAGTGGCTGACTGACTGAGTGACTGGCTGAGTGACTGAGTGAGTGTGTGAGTGAGTGAGTGAGCGAGTGAGTGACTGGCTGACTGAGTGACTGAGTGAGTGACTGAGTGAGTGAGTGACTGTGTGACTGAGTGACTGGCTGACTGAGTGACTGAGTGACTGGCTGAGTGACTGAGTGAGTGTGTGAGTGAGTGAGCGAGTGAGTGACTGGCTGACTGAGTGAGTGACTGAGTGAGTGAGTGATTGTGTGACTGAGTGAGTGACTGAGTGACTGGCTGAGTGACTGAGTGAGTGTGTGAGTGAGTGAGCGAGTGAGTAACTGTGTGACTGAGTGAGTGACTGAGTGACTGGCTGAGTGACTGAGTGAGTGTGTGAGTGAGTGAGCGAGTGAGTGACTGGCTGACTGAGTGACTGAGTGAGTGACTGAGTGAGTGACCGTGTGACTGAGTGAGTGACTGAGTGACTGAGTGACTGACTGAGTGACTGGCTGTGTGACTGAGTGTCTAGCTGAGTGAGTGACTGGCTGAGTGACTGAGTGAGTGACTGTGTGACTGAGTGAGTGACTGAGTGACTGACTGACTGTGTGACTGGCTGTGTGACTGAGTGACTGACTGAGTGACTGAGTGAGTGTGTGAGTGAGTGAGTGAGCGAGTGAGTGACTGGCTGACTGAGTGACTGAGTGAGTGACTGAGTGAGTGAGTGACTGTGTGACTGAGTGACTGGCTGACTGAGTGACTGAGTGAGTGACTGAGTGACTGGCTGAGTGACTGAGTGAGTGTGTGAGTGAGTGAGCGAGTGAGTGACTGGCTGACTGAGTGAGTGACTGAGTGAGTGAGTGATTGTGTGACTGAGTGAGTGACTGAGTGACTGGCTGAGTGACTGAGTGAGTGTGTGAGTGAGTGAGCGAGTGAGTGACTGTGTGACTGAGTGACTGAGTGAGTGACTGAGTGACTGAGTGAGTGTGTGAGTGAGTGAGCGAGTGAGTGACTGGCTGACTGAGTGACTGAGTGACTGGCTGAGTGACTGAGTGAGTGTGTGAGTGAGTGAGCGAGTGAGTGACTGGCTGACTGAGTGAGTGACTGAGTGAGTGAGTGACTGTGTGACTGAGTGAGTGACTGAGTGACTGGCTGAGTGACTGAGTGAGTGTGTGAGTGAGTGAGCGAGTGAGTGACTGGCTGACTGAGTGACTGAGTGAGTGACTGAGTGAGTGAGTGACTGTGTGACTGAGTGAGTGACTGACTGAGTGACTGAGTGAGTGACTGAGTGAGTGACTGAGTGACTGAGTGACTGAGTGAACGAGTGTCAGCCCGTACTTGAACACCAGGCCGTGGGTGTCTGTGAGCGTCGCTCCGATGTTCTGCAGGAGAATGTTCAAGCTCTCGATGGGAAGTTCAGCTCCCCCTCCTCCTCCACCTCCTCCACCTCCTCCACCTCCTCCACCACCTCCTCCACCTCCTCCACCACCTCCTCCACCTCCTCCACCACCTCCTCCACCTCCTCCACCTCCACCTCCTCCACTCTTCCTCTCCTCAGAGCCAGCGGTCAGAGACAGAGACAGATGCAGCTGGGGGAGAGACACGGCCACCGTGAACCCCACCCACGCACACACCCACCCACACACCCACCCACCCACACACCCACCCACCCACACGGCCACCCACCCACCCACCCACACGGCCAGCGTGACCCCACCCACGCACACACCCACCCACACCCACCCACACACACCCACCCACCCACACGGCCACCCACCCACCCACCCACACGGCCAGCGTGAACCCCACCCACGCACACACCCACCCACACACCCACCCACCCACACGGCCACCCACCCACCCACCCACACGGCCAGCGTGAACCCCACCCACCCACACGGCCACACACACAGCCACCCACCCACCCACCCACACACACGGCCAGCGTGAACCCCACCCACGCACACACCCACCCACACACCCACCCACCCACACACCCACCCACCCACCTACCCACACGGCCAGCGTGAACCCCACCCACCCACACGGCCACACACACAGCCACCCACCCACCCACCCACACACACGGCCAGCGTGAACCCCACCCACCCACACACCCACCCACACACCCACCCACCCACACGGCCACCCACCCACACGGCCACCCACCCACACGGCCACCCACACACCCACCCACCCACACGGCCAGCGTGAACCCCACCCACCCACACGGCCAGCGTGAACCCCCACCCACACCACCACACCCACCCACACACCCACCCACACACCCACCCACCCACACGGCCACCCACCCACCCACCCACCCACACGGCCAGCGTGAACCCCACCCACCCACACGGCCACACACACAGCCACCCACCCACCCACCCACACACACGGCCAGCGTGAACCCCACCCACCCACACACCCACCCACACACCCACCCACCCACACGGCCACCCACCCACACGGCCACCCACCCACACGGCCACCCACCCACCCACCCACCCACACGGCCATCGTGAACCCCACCCACCCACACGGCCAGCGTGAACCCCACCCACCCACACACCCACCCACACACCCACCCACCCACACGGCCACCCACCCACCCACACGGCCACCCACACGGCCACCCACCCACCCACACGGCCAGCGTGAACCCCACCCACCCACCCACACGGTCACCCACGCACACGGCCACCCACCCACACAGCCACCCACACAGCCACCCACCCACCCACCCACACAGCCACCCACCCACCCACCCACACGGCCACCCACCCACCCCACCCACACGGCCAGCGTGAACCCCACCCACCCACACAGCCACACGGCCACCGTGAACCCCATCCACCCACACGGCCACCCACCCACCCACCCACCCCACACGGCCACCCACCCACCCACCCACCCACACGGCCAGCGTGAACCCCACCCACCCACACGGCCAGCGTGAACCCCACCCACCCACACACCCACCCACACACCCACCCACCCACACACCCACCCACCCACACGGCCACCCACCCACACGGCCACCCACCCACCCCCCACCCACCCACCACACGGCCAGCGTGAAACCCCACCCACCCACACGGCCAGCGTGAACCCCACCCACTCCACACACCCACCCACACACCCACCCACCCACACGGCCACCCACCCACCCACCCACCCCCACGGCCAGCGTGAACCCCACCCACCCACACGGCCAGCGTGAACCCCACCCACCCACACACCCACCCACACACCCACCCACCCACACACCCACCCACCCACACACCCACCCACCCACACGGCCACCCCAGCCCACCCACACTGCACCCACCCACCCACCCACCCACACGGCCAGCGTGAACCCCACCCACCCACCCACACGGTCACCCACGCACACGGCCACCCACCCACACAGCCACCCCACCCACCCACCCACACGGCCACCCACCCACCCACCCACACGGCCACCCACCCACCCACCCACACGGCCACCCCCCACCCACCACCACGGCCACCCACCCACACCACCCACACGGCCACCCACCCACCCCACCCACCCACACGGCCAGCGTGAACCCACCCCCCCACACAGCCACACGGCCACCGTGAACCCACCCACCCACACGGCCACCCACCCACCCACCACACGGCCAGCGTGAACCCCACCCACCCACACAGCCACACGGCCACCGTGAACCCCACCCACCCACACGGCCAGCGTGAACCCCACCCACCCACACACCCACCCACACACCCACCACACACACAGCCACTCACCCACCCACCCACACACCCACCCACCACACAGCCACCCACCCACACACCCACCCACCCACACACAGCCACCCACCCACCCACACCCCACACGGCCAGCGTGAACCCCACCCACCCACACAGCCACCCACCCACACAGCCACACAGCCACCCACACAGCCACCCACCCACCCACACAGCCACCCACCCACCCACACACCACCCACACACCCACCCACACAGCCACCCACCCACCCACACACCCACCCACACGGCCACCCACCCACCCACACACCCACACGGCCACCGTGAACCCCACCACACGGCCACCGTGAACCCCACCCACCCACACGGCCACCGTGAACCCCCCCCCACCCACACGGCCACCATGAACCCCACCCACCCACCCACAACGGCCACCGTGAACCCCACCCACACGGCCACCGTGAACCCCACCCACCCACACGGCCACCGTGAACCCCACCCCCCACACGGCCACCGGTGAACCCCACCCACCCACACGGCCACCGTGAACCCCACCCCCCACACGGCCACCGTGAACCCCACCCACCCACACGGCCACCGTGACCCCACCCACCACACAGCCACCCACACGGCCACCGTGAACCCCACCCACCCACACGGCCACCGTGAACCCCACCCACCCACACGGCCACCGTGAACCCCACCCACCCACACGGCCACCGTGAACCCCACCCACCCACACGGCCACCGTGAACCCACCCACCCACACGGCCACGTGAACCCCACACGGCCAGCGTAACCCACCACCCACACGGCCACCGTGAACCCCACCCACCCACACGGCCACCGTGAACCCCACCCACCCACACGGCCACCGTGAACCCCACCCACCCACACGGCCACCGTGAACCCCACCCACCCACACGGTCACCGTGAACCCCACCCACCCACACGGCCACCGTGAACCCCACCCACCCACACGGTCACCCACCCACACGGCCACCCACCCACACGGCCAGCGTGAACCCCACCCACCCACACGGTCACCCACCCACACGGCCACCCACCCACACGGCCACCGTGAACCCCACCCACTCACACGGTCACCCACCCACACGGCCACCCACCCACACGGCCAGCGTGAACCCCACCCACCCACACGGTCACCCACCCACACGGCCACCCACCCACACGGCCAGCGTGAACCCCACCCACCCACACGGTCACCCACCCACACGGCCACCCACCCACACGGCCAGCGTGAACCCCACCCACCCACACGGTCACCCACCCACACGGCCACCCACCCACACGGCCAGCGTGAACCCCACCCACCCACACGGTCACCCACCCACACGGCCACCCACCCACACGGCCAGCGTGAACCCCACCCACCCACACGGTCACCCACCCCCACGGCCACCC